CAATTGCTTCTGCAACTGTTGAAGGGCTGGTCTTGCTTTTAGATCTGTGCTCTCCTAACACATACTGAAGAAATGAGGTGGGGGGGGAACAACATTTTATTTTTGCTTGCTTGTTGTGGTAAATTTTATGGATTAAAGAAGAATATAACTATAAATGCAATGCACCCAACAGAGAGAAAAGGGATCTGCTAGCTGCAGTTCACAAGACTGATGTACAACATCTCTTCTTCAGTCTTCTAGGAAAAAGGAAGACAGAGAAATTCAGTTTTATCATCTTTTCGAAATATGAGTCAGCTTGTTAGGAGGAAGGAGTGCAGAAATTCAAAAAGGCCTCTGCACTCTTTCTGAAGCACAGTCCCTGAACCAATGGTGTTATGCATTTTGCACTGCAAAAAGTTGTTCCCTTTAGCCGCCAAGTCTCTTCTAGGCTACAGGCTACAACCCTCATAAAGACCTCTTAGATTGCTGTGGTATTGTTACTGCAGGTTAGCCTCGTTGGCCAGATATGCCTGGCTCAATGGACATGGAGTGAGTCAGGAAAAGACCACTCAGTGTTATTTTCTTTTTATTTTTTTGTTAAAGGGAGAGCGAGGCAGTCCAGGACCAGTAGGTCCTCCTGGAGAGAAAGGTGTTATGGTAAGTCACAAATAATGTAGAAGCCATAGTTATGTTACTTACAGAGGCACTTTACTTTCAAAACAGTAATATATTCTCACTCTCCTGACTCTGCAGGCTTTATGGAGAAGAGCGGTACTTACGATGCATTGTTTCTGGCAAGTTTCATTCAGCAGCTTTATCACCTCTGTGGAAGTGACATTGCAAAGTGACCTGCTGAATGAAGCTGAGGAGCAACTGCATTTTTGAAAAATTGCTCTAAGCAGACTTATGTTAAAAAATATCAAACACAATGAGTTGAAAGGAGGCATAAATAAAGGAGGGAAAGTAAATGAATGATCTCCTCTGTAGACTGGCTTAACACAGATTATTCTAATAGACTGATAACCAGCATCACCTCTAATTCTGTGGCACAGCAGTACCCAGACAGCCCCTGGGTGCCACTCTGGTGGGAGGACTGGCTTCCTGACAACACCACTTGTCCTAAATCAGGATGCAACGTTTCATACAGCATTAGACAGTCTAGAGGCCGCTGTCATGTTAAGTAGGTTGTTGGGGCACGGAAGTAAAAAACTGTACACACATGTGCCCATTGCCACATAGATGTTGAAGTTCTTGAGGACAAGTGGTTAGGGTTTGGTTGTGTGTTTGCTAGCAAGCACAGTGATGGGTCCAGAATGTATAGAGAACACATTTTGTCTTGGCCAGTCCTGCCCACACCAGGATGTGTCCATTTTCTGTTGCCACTGTCACAGCCTTGATGTGAGGATTTTGAATTCATTTACAACTTAGCAGCTTTTGTTTCAGAAAATCCCTGTCACCTAGTGCCTGTCTGTGGGAAAACTTCTTAGGTTGCATTGATGATTATTGTGATCCATCCAAACAAATATCTGTTTCCTAAACAAAATTTTGGGAATAAATTTTTGAAGATTAAACATTTTACTGACTTACCTCCAATTTTTCAGTTAAGTAACTGGATTTATTATTTTTATTATAAAACCAATTTTGATTAAACTGTTCAGTCTTTTCTATATTTATTTCAACTCTAGGGCTACCCAGGATCTCCAGGAGGCCCTGGGCCTGTGGGGCCAGAAGGATTACCTGTAGGTATCGAGTGGTGATTTGGTTTGACATAAAATGTACCATTTTCAAATTGTCTTTTTGTTCTGATGAAGCTAAGGATGGTTTCTAATTTGTACTGCAGTCTATAAAACTGTCATGAAAATTTGCCTATCCGGACACAAATTCTGTTCATCTGCTCTTCACTAAGATGATCCATGAGAGACAGGAAAACTAATTTATATCATTTACTCATCCATTTAAAAATCATTCTGTTGAGACAAGTAGGGGAATAGAATTTTTTAAGGATGGTTTAGAGTTGCACAACAATTTCATTTTTAATTAATTGATGCCTAATATAATTTAAATATATTCATTCTGTGTTTATTTTCATTGTTAGTAAAAAATAAATTATATTCTAATTTGCTGTGTATAATTGTGCTATAATTTGGGTCTTCAGTACAGACAAAACCTGAATCTTTTATCACAAATTGTTAGGGGATTTTTAAGATAATGTTGCTGAAATACAAGTATCCTTTAGCAATTTTGGGATATTGGACAGAAGTAATTTATGCAACAGTCACATCATGATTTCTTATTCAGAATAAAGTTATATAGCGTCTCTTATTTATATTTTTTCTAAGTAAATTGTACTAACACAATTAATTGAATTTGAACCATGAGTGAAAGTAATTGATTTGTATTGGTTGCATTGACTGTTGCTCAATGTGCATGAGACTTGTAATTTTCAGAAACCTGTGTATAGAAGGCAATGAATAATAAGTTTATTTGACATGTAGGGACCTTCAGGGACAAGAGGACCACCAGGACCACAGGGACCTAAGGGAAGAAGAGTAAGTAACATTGCAGTTTCATGTTACTTAGAGCAGAGTGTAGTGTATTGCCAGTATGAATCTGATGTGTAACCCATGTACAGTTGCTTCCTTTGAACTCTGTCCTCTTGACTTAAGCCATTTGTACTGAAATCAGGCAGATGATGCTTATATTTTGATATAGGAAATTATATGAATCTTCATTTCTCCTCACATTACAGTTAAATGGGGTTTTGCCATTGATTTCAGCTGAGAGCAGGACCAGAACCAAAATGATCACTGGCCTTATTTTCTGTATCCATAAATATGCAAATGTTGGCATTTATAAGTACCATCGGACTGTTTCAATGTTTTAAGGATTGTTTTCTTTATTTGCATGTCATTTATGTGTTTGAAAAGACAATCAAAATCACCCAAACGTAGTTCTGAGAGAGGGAGAAGCAAAGTCAGAAGACTGTGTATGCTAGAATCTCAAACCTCTGATTAGACTGTCATTTCTATTTCATGCATTTTTATCAGGGAAATGGGAACCATTTTTTCACTGTGTACAAAACACTAATGCAAAGCCCACATAAGCAAAGACAGCGTCTGTCCCGACCAATTTGTATGGGCGTTTGATCACAATATATAAAATCAGTATCAGTCAAAGTGTTGCAGTTTGTCACCTGGGGGTGGTTGGCTACATGGTTTTCATAAACACTTTCCTTCATAAACCCCACCAGTCATTTGCACTTCCTGTCCTGAGGTTTTTTGGTCATGTTTTTGCAGTCTGAGCTCAAGGTGCCTGCAGGAAGCGCTTCCAGTTCATAGTATAGATGGGTTTGGTTGCAGCATGAGCAAGTGTATTCTCACTGGGTTTATGGAGGTTGTCGAGAACAGCAGTGAAGATGCACCTTTCTAACATCAGCCTCATGTAGCAGTTTGACAGCATCTCCAGGCTTCCTATGAGACTGGTACAGCTCGTACCAGTGGCTGGACCTGTGTGTCTTCACAGGTGGTGTTAGCATTGGGCAGTGCTTACCAGTCATTCCTGACAAAGTCCCTGAATCTTTGTTAGTGAGATAATTTTGTTGGTTTCTTTCTGTCATAGGAAGCAGAAACTTTTGTTTCTACAGTAAAATACAATTATAGCCTTCCTTTATCCTCCTTTGTTATGGTGATACCTATGATTTCTAAGAGAATACATGGTAAAATTTGACAAGTTTTAAGATCTGGAGGTTTCACTCCAGTTAAAGATAGATACCCAAGAAGCACGCATTGCCTTTTAAATAAGATTTTAAATTAGAAAATATTGTGATTAGCAAACTTTGTAATACAAAATTTCTTAACTGTATGTTCTTCTACATTACTTTTTCATGATTGCTAAACTGTTAAATAAGAGATTGGGTAAAGAGTTATATTTTCAGCATATTCAAAACAATATATCTGAATATATTATGTATTTGAATATTAATATATTATATTTGAAACTATATTTTGAATATTCATTGTAGTTGAAATATGCCATATTTTGAAATATACTATATTTTGAATATTTTGTATATTTGAAATGTATAATGCTTAGCAACTTCACAGTACACTACAGGATTATTCAGAAGAGAAACTTCACATGTTTCAAATAGGTCTTCTTCGTTTAGTACAGTTTCCTCCTCCTTCAGAAGAAATCTGTTTTAATTTACCTCTTTGTTCGTGGTGCAGTTTGTAGGAATGATTTGTGAAATGTAGCGTATGAAATGTATAATCTCTGTTAAAAGTCTGCAATAGTGGTTGTGAGTTGCCCTGTATTAGAGAGGTTTCCAGCTGTCAATGCCAAGTGAGTTGTTTTGTTTTGTTTTATTTAGTTTCAGACATAGAGTGTAATTTATCCCAGACTTCAGTTTCCTTACATGGGTAAAGCAGATTTGAGCATATATCTACCTACTAAAACTTCTTGTGCTTGTCTGAAGTACCTATCAGTAGCAGATTTGTCTGAGTCTAGGTTTCAGGATTAAGGAAGTTATCTCAGCAGCTCATGGAAAAGGACACACCCACCATCATCAGAGAGAATCTGTATGGTCTTCATTTTTCCCTTACAATAGATGTGGGGGTTTTTTTAAGCCAACTTAAAAGGGTATATTAGTAAAAATTTCTTTCTGGGAAATTAATTTACTAATTCAATGATAGACATTTTAATTTAATAATGAATTATTTGTAAAAAAAAAAAAAAAAAAAAAAGAAAAAACACAACCCAAAATCATATGCACTAAGAAATATTCGGTATTATTTTGATAATTTTGCATGCAGAAGTAGCAAATGCTTCCCACGTCTCACAGGTCACCTGCTTATTTTCTGAATATGTCACACATATGTAATCTATTAGTGCCCAGAAAAATGAGTTTATTGAAGCCTGTTTGTCAGGCAAAACTGAAATGCAGATATATTTGCTTATGCAACATATCTAACAAAATTCAAAGAGAAGCCTTAATTAGCTGCAGAGGGCAAGAATCCACCCCCCACTGATAAGCGCAGTGAACTACCAAAAATTGGTGTAAGCAGGAGCGTCCAACCCCAGGCACCGGGGAGAAGAGAAGTGGCAGAGAAGAAGTTCCCGAAGCGTTCAAGAGGTGCTTATACACACACGTTCAGTGGAGAGAGGCTCCGGGGTCCACGTTAATAACTAAGGCAGCCTTCTGACAGGAGCGTGGATCTCGGCTTTGATGTAGAGGAGCAGAGGGAAGAACAGCCTTTTTAGTTCACAGGCAGATTTGAAAATGTAAATCCAACCAGAAATGCAACGCAATTGTGATGCTGAAAAGAAGTAGCAGCTTGGCACCACTTTTTGTTCGGTGGCCTGATTCAGTGAAACTAACGGGTGCCTTACTTCTCTCCGATATCAGTAGGAGCATCTCTGAAAGTGAAATACATGCTGAATTGAGACACACAGGCCCGTGGCATCAGATGAGGAGTACACATACGCACTCATTTTCACGTAAAATGCTGATGTTTGAGCTTCACCTAAAAAGGAAAATCCCTTGGGCCCTGTCAGTCCACCAGCATTTCAGTTTGGTGGCCTATAGGATGAAATGAGTTAGAAGGCCAGCTCAAAAGTAATTAGTGTAAGTAGTTGTCTCTGAGACTGGTACGGAACTGCTGCAGGTTGTACCTTTTAATTCCTCTGGATGTAGCATTCCCCTCTAAACTCCTCTGATCCTTCCGTCCTGGCAGGTCTGTCTGCCAGCATCACCAGAGCGGGAGTCAGAGTCAAGCTGCTGATATGAACGCGAGTTCTCCCCTGCAGGCTCTCCTCCCTCCCAGCAGCATCTGCTACTTGGTGACTGTTTTTATGGGGAGAAAACTTATTTTAATTTAGATTCTATTTTGAAGGTAGAAGATAGTTTTTATTTAAGGAGTGTCACATCTTCTGCCAACTGAGACAGGAATCTTTGAGGGAGTCTGTCTCTATGATTTTGGCAGCACATCATGGACTACATTGCTTATAATTAAAGATTACTCAAAATAAATCCCAAACATCCCAAGCTCTGTGGAAGTCCCAGATTGGAGCTGTGGTTTATGCCTTTGCCTCCATCCAGCGTGACTGGGAATGCTTCGTGGAAGGGGGTCTCAGAGCAGACCCAGGTCTTCAGGGTCTGTGAACAAACTCCCACTGAAGCCCCTGAGAATTTTGTCTGCTCTCAAGATCAAAATGTCAGACCCAAAGTGGAATCTCGCATAAGGAGAATATCTGGGGCCCCCTGAAACCTGGGGTTTGTCATCACTGGATTCAGAAAGAGAAATGTCAGAACTCCAAGCTCTGTGTGGCAGGCCTCAGAAAAATGCGTACCAGAGTCATACAGAAGTTAAATAGAAGCATATGGAAATTGCCCTTTGTTGTGTACCGAAACAAACGTATCCCGTCTTCACAGCTGGAATCTACAGGAAGTCTTAGGAGCGCTGACCCTCTACTTCTGCACTGTCACAGAGTGGAATTCCTTCATCTCATAAATTCTGGACCTTTCAGCAACTGGTTCACATCCAAGATTACCCAGCAGCCTACTTCTGCCTGAGAGTAGCCAGCTGCTCAGTCTCCAGTACACCCAGGAGTTCTGGCTAGCTTGAAGGCAGGCTGTCTAGGAATCCATGCAGTATCTCACTATTAGGGGGTTTTGGGGGATATGCCATTGAGCATAGTGCTAGCACAGAGCTTCCTCAGCTCATGCTTGAGACTTGATGCACTTCAGCTGGAATCATGTGGGAGGTTGGGTTCTTGTGTGACCTGCTTTTTTTTTTTTTAGTGTTAATCTCATGAAAACACAGAGGGAGAACACCGCTTTGTAGATGCTTCAATGGCAGAATGACACTCTGGGCGGTGGGAATATCTATATCTAAGAGAAGGAATTTCTCTCCATGACCAGAAGGAAAAAATACGTTAGTCTGGAAGACATGTTGGTAGCGGTGTAGGCAGCCATGAAGCCGTTATTTCATGTTCTTTTGTTGTTCTTGTTTGCCGGAGAAGAAAACCACAATGTCAGAGGCTGGTGCTGCTTTTAGTTCATACCGTAATGTTTGACTAATACAACTGTAGCTTTTAATTTGAGAGGAACAGGTCCTGTATCATTAGATTCATTTAATGAGTGAGACCTAAGCAAAATTCTCAATAGCCACTAAGATTCTTAGCAGTTGGTATTCTTCAGGCTGATGTTTGGTGTTTTAAAGCTTAAAAGCAATAATTTTTCTGCACTTACTTTCCTGGAATGCAGCTCATGAAATTCAGTTTTGAAAACGCAGATAAATGACATAAGTGCCGTAAGTTTGGGGTCAGACAACAGCAGCTTATATCTGTAACAGCCAGTAGGATTATCTTTGCTTCATTTGTGTCTGTGCTGGCATGGAGAACCTCAATTACCTAAGGATATCAGCAATCAGTTTTAATGGGTAATATCTTTCATATTCCTCACAAGCAGGAAATATGGAACCTAGAAAAATGTGTGCACTTCAGGGTTATGTGAAACAAGTGGCCAGTGTGCTTTGTGATACATCAATAGCTGCATGTGTTTATCTGTCTTAAATTGTTCAAAGGAAGTGAGACTAAAATTGATGTAACTTTCTAATATTTTTCCATGTCAATCACCAAAAGAGAGAAGTAGCTACATAGTGTGTCTATGTTATTTTCACGTATGTTAAGGAGGCAGGATGAGAAGAACAAAAAGAGTTAATTGGTGCTTTTTGCCTTCTTAGATGGACTTTTTCTCAGTTTATTATCCTAGAGTTTCCAATGTAATACGTTCCATCTTAGAAACAAAGTTGAATCCGTGCCAAAGAACAAAGTAGCAGCAATTGTTTGGCAGCCTTACTCCTCAGCTCTCCGGCAACCTAAATTAAATAACAGCAGGCAAATCATGTGTATTTCTCACTCTGTACTAGCTATAGTAGGAAATGATACAGATCCAATTAATCCGTGCCAATAATGAGTCACACCATACTATTTATAGGAATGTTATGGTGTGCTTTTGTTAGAATATTAAATTGCCTTTCCCTTGGATTCCTGCACTCTGTTCTGTGGCTGGCTAAAGCTAGGCTAAAGTCAGGCATGGCCCAGAGGCAGAAGCTGAGCATCACGCTGGTTTCTCTTACTTTGTTTTCAATTCAAAATTATGTAGTAGAATATTGGTATTTTGAATGGTAGGCCTTTTCACTTGATTATTAGTGATCAAATCAGTTGTCATTCTCTTCCTAATGATTGGGCTGTTGATGCAAACTCTACCGAAGTGGATATCTGTGTGACTAGCAGAAAGGTTTTGGTATGTTATGCACATAACATGGATTGAGAATCCTGTGTAGTTTCCTGACAGGACCATTTCTTAAAATATGTGCTATGACCTTCTTTATGATTAAAAGAAAAGAATTTATCTGTTAATACTATTAATGATAGAAGATAAAATCTAGAAAGGAATTTCTATATTACACAAATCTGTACAATCAAAATGTGTCCTTTTTCCTCCTTGAATAGTTCATCTTGAGATTCTAACCCCTGATTAGCTCTGTGGAGGATGCACAGAGACAAATGACAGGTCATGTATCTAGAAAGTCTGAGAAACACTAAAATTATCCTGCAGTTACTCAGCTTAACACTCTCAATTTTCCCCTCCCTATGTTGCCCTAGCTGCCTCTGCAGCTCTTCTGTGAACTTCTTTCCCCTTCTACCCCTCCTTGCTTAATGGCCTCCCCTCACTCCGTCTCAAGTTTTCCTCTTCTCCCTTCTGCTTCCATTCTTCAAGGCATTTCACCTGAATGGAATGTCAGATCATGGGAGTCTAAATCTGCTCAGTCTGCCTTGAATGTTTGTCACAACGCATTTTGTGTGCATTATAGATGGCAGCTACAGAAAAAGTGCAGAGCAGTAACCTGACATTAATTTGATCAAGATGTTTAGCTTTCCTTTTACTTATGCTATATAATGATTCAATAATTGGGCTTACACAGTTACATAATCTTAACGTTAGGCCCAGTCTTGTGCTTATAAAGTCCTCCATCACCCTTAAAAATAGCATTAGTGTTTTGGTTCTGATATCTGAGTGTACTGAAGTCACCAGAATTTTTTTCCACAGACTTCAGTAGCGTTTGGTTTGAGACCTTTCTCACTGAGAGCCATGCAGCAACCTGGAGTGTCTTCTTCTGTAGCCTCTTTTCTCCTCTAGCTTAAAAAAATGCCTGTAAATACTCAGTCCTGGCTTAGACCAAAACAAAAATGGTGGCCAGGCTAACCCAAGGATTGCCTCACAAAAGCTGTGTCCCAAACCACTTAAGTATCAAAAGTATTCAGACAGCTTTCCCTGCCTGTTCATTTTATTTTTCCTATGGTTTCTGTGTGTTCCCTCGTGCTGGCCAGAAGCAGCAGTGCTGAAATGCTGACAGATAAGCTTCTCATGGGATATTTCTGGCTCTGCAAGGTGTTGTAATTATATGTCAGCTCACAGGAAAGGCCTTTTCTTGAGAGATTTCTGTTTCACGAAAAAAGCCTAAATGATTCTGGATACACACTGTTCCTGAATTGCCAATCAGACGTTTCTTTCACTGTAGCTCCAGAGGGAAGCACATCAGTGCTTACCATCTGTTCTGACAGAGGTTTTGATGTGCATCAGTAAATCCAAGTCAGAGAGAAGAGAATTCAGTTTGTTTCAAAAAATTCAAGAGGGACGTGGAAGTCACAGACATTTTTAAGGGGAAGGTAATCTAAATAAAATCAGACATGCTTCCCACAAAGTCATTTTAGAAGCCTCTGTTACTGCCTCTAAGAACAGTATTACAGCTCTCTGGAAATCAGTCATGATTGCATGCCCTGCACTATAAACTGTGACCCAAGATGTAACGTTCTCTGCAACTCAGAAATGCACTCTGAAAATACAGCTTGTTTTCCTCTAGGCACTGCCATAGCAGAGTACTAGTTCCCTCTGCCACCAGGAAAGCTGTGGTGTCTCATCCTCCCACTGCCTACTGCTGTAAAGAGCCTGGCTCTGTCTTGGTACTTACCTAGCTCTTGCTTTAAAGTGGTCTGGTTTTAGGTTGTTATTAACTGGTTTTAATTTTATTCTTCATACCCGAACAGTCATGGTGTTTAGAATTATGGAAATAACCTCCTAAATCAGCATGGATAAATTATTCTTTTCCATTTTGCTCATGATCTGTTTTAAGGATTTTTCATTTCCTTGTAAATTAATGGATTTGGATTTCTCATCTTAAATAATAATTTCTGAATGTTTTGACAATAAATATTTGCTATATTATATAATACAATAATATAACAGGTGATCTTTTTTCATCTATTGGTTATAAAAAGTCACTTTACAAGAAATTTTAGTGTAACAATAGGGCAATTAACTATGCAAGATGATAAATTGCTTTTAGTCTTGCCTCAAACTGGTTTGCTAATGGAAGAACTTTATCCACCTGTTTTAGAGTCTTACTATCGCAAGCTGGATTTTTGCACATACAATTTATAATATGCTCAAAAGCAAGCACTCCATATATATCTATATATATATAACACTAGCGCTTACCTAAATTCTTCTAAATATGTCTGTTGCATTCATACAAAGTGGATAGGAAAGAGAGCAGAAAATAGCGTGCATGCTGGCTCCAACAGAAACCCTGAACATTTTCTTTACATATTTTCCAGAAAATCTTTCTTCTTAAATTCATATTTAAGCAAACCAGGAACTCATATTATTCTTTGAAGCTTTATTTCACACTTAACATAAAATGAAAATTGTTTTTCTTGCTGACAAACCACATTTCCCTTCTCGTAAAGCTTATGTTGCATCTCCCTGATGATAACAAAAAATAATGCATAATTAATGTAACAAACCACGTGTTCAATATTCAGGGGCCAAGAGGTCTAGATGGTCCTCTAGGAGAACCAGGAACACAAGGCATCAAGGTGAGTGCTTGCATTGCTCAGTACTGTATAAAACATTTACATAGACCATAACAGATAAGCAAAGAAAACAAACAAAAAACCAATACAGCATGTCAGAAAACATAAATTTCCGTGTAATCCAGGAGGAGATTTGCAAATTTCTGCCTTCTTCAGGTACTTTATTATTATGGTATAAACCCATCTAAGCCTGAATCTGCATTTCTGTGGAGTTACCCCGCATTTAAACTGTGTGCAGCTTATCTAG